ATTGTATCCGCTCCGCGATTCAGGAATGTGATTGGAGGGGGGAGTGCGATGGTCTCAAGTCCCCTTTTCCTATATTCGCCTCATGTAATATATGCAAGTCCTGTAGCTTGCTATGCAGTCTATGCAGTCTCCCATGGCTAAGCCCTTGCTGAATTCTGAATAGTCAGAACAAAATCGCGGAGCAACGAAATAAGCACAAAATGAGCAAAACAAGTTCATAACTCATAAGTAATTTATCCAAATACAATAAGCGTTAGCCATGTCAAATAAACTCAAATACAAAACTTCCTATGTAGTACATTTGTAAAAATATTTACAAGCAGTTATGACTACTATAGTCTACTATTAGTATACTAGAGATGGCTATGCTACCACTGCTACCAGCCAAAAAATCCCAGACGCTGTAGTAAATCCCATTCAAGAGCAGTCTCTTCACTCCTTCACTGCTCCTTTGAAGTCTGGTGAACCTGCTCGGTCTTCAACCCCAGAGGGAGGCTATTGTACAGCGTTCCTATACGATTTAAACTTTGAATACAAATCAGTGATGCCTGATCAAAGGGAAATAAATACTGTTTTTATTCTTATTCAGTTTCAATTAAGGGTGATAAATAAAATTAACATAATTAATGATTTAGCACCATGTTTTAAGTGCTTTAATTTTGTTTATGTAAGTATCATCACGCTGTAAAAAATCAAGAATTTATTTTAAAGGCTTTGCAAATAACATTACCATAAAAAATCAGTGGTGGTCCCAGAATTTCATTACGGGGGAATGACCAGCGGGGGGCCTCCCAGGAAAAATGTGGAATTTAAAGCACAAAAACGTATTTTTATACGTATTGGAGCTCTAAAATACGCTCAAAATCAGTATTTATTTTATCTAATAAAATATAAAATATTTCGGGGGCCGCCACTGACGAAAACACTGTGTAGTGCTAAGATGTGTTGGTATATAAATGATAAAATGACAACCTCTTCTTGGGACACCCTGTATAATGGTTTGGTTATATAAATATGGGTTGCGGTTAATAACAACGTTTTATTAGCGAATTTCCCTATGTCCCCAGAGGCCAAAAACACCATTCGTTCAAATTTTTATATATGTATATATATATAGGTATATATATATATAGATTTATATATATATATATATATATATATATGTGTGTCCGTGAACACGATAACTTGAGTAATTTTTATCCGATTTTGATGAAATTTGGTTTGAAGGTGTAAGGCGGGATAAACTTGAATGAGTTCGCGATCCAGCATGATCGGACCATGGGAACAGGGTTTTATGGGGGGTTTTATGGGGTAAAAATTGGTTTTTCTCACTTTTTACCCTCAAAACACAAAATTTCCCAATTTTTCTCTAAACCTTCTTAAAGAGCTTAAAAAAACAAACAATTCAGTATATCAAAGTGTTTTTGTACGGTTATTGGTTACGGAAAAAACTAAAAAAATGGGAAATTTAAAATTCCCATGTTATTCTTATGGAGAATATTGTAAAATGTTGTATAGTTTGCTTGTTTATGGATATATTTTGATCAAACTTGGCAAATTTATTTATTTTATAGTAAGCTATCAATATTTTACTATAAACACACTACTTTATTAGTTTCCTTGTAGCAGCAAACCTAGGTACTCGTTAAACCTAATAATGTTATTTAAATAGATCAATTGAAAATCAATTCGGCCAAATGGAAATTCGCTTAGACGGCAGGTTTGCTGCGGCGGGGGTATTTTTGTTCAGAACCATTCATTTTAAAATTCTTCTTATGTATTATAAGAAACTTCTGATAATGAAAAAGGTTCGCAGTATTTTTTTATAAATACATTTGATTGATTAGTAGCCTACCTTCAGTATCCAGTAGTCAATGTAAGTACATACAAAAATTATCTGATAATGCACGTTTTTAAGGAGATAAAAATCCATGGGAGGCTAAAACTCATATTGAGTTATTTCCAATATTATGAGCGATTAGAAAAATGTTATTTTAGATTGATCCTTTCACATATAATTTAACATTTTTATTTGACCAATTTCTTTAAGACTATGGTAACGAAGCCATCAAGTCGACATTTGTTAAGATGAGGCAACGGGATTATTAACTCCAAAAACTCTGTTGTATTTCCAAAAGCTTATAATTTTTTTTATTATTTTTTTACTACTTATTCTTTTTCTAAAGTATTGATTTAAAACGTTTTATTTTATGAGGAAGTTTCAGCCTAAGGCTTGAGCTCATTTAAAGTGATAAATTAGTTAGGTTTTTGGACGTTTTATTAGCATATAGCAAAAGTCATTTGATTGGAAGGTTTTACCTAAGTTTATTAATTAATTGTTACATAATCGATTGATTTGGTAATAAGTAAGTTATTTGATGCAATTGGTAAAAACAATTATAAAGTAATGAACCCTAATGATGGTTTTATGACTATTATAACTAATATTCACCCAGAGAGGCGTTACGGAGATTCGTTTATTATGTCTTCAATTATTCAAGAAGTAAAATAATACTTAACTTAGGCCTACCTGTTACTGTTTTGAGTGGTACCATTGACTATTAGATACTGAAGTTGTATTAATAGTCAAAGGTGGTACAAGATTTAATCCTTTAATTATAACTGATATTTTAATCTTCTATGTTTTGAGAAGTAAATTACAGTATGCAGCAGCTGTTTCGGTAGGCAACTTTTTTCTCGCCACCGCCTTGTACTCGAGGAGGCCATGGTTCCTTTTTGACTCACTACACTACATCAAGGGTACACCGTGGATTAATTTTATAGTTATACTTAAGTATACGTATACCGTGATATGCCATAATTTATTTCTTTGTAATTCAACATCACATCATATATAATACTATTAGGAAAACAGATAAACAATTACACAAAGACTAAAAAACAACTTTATTATTATAAACTATACGTACTTAAACACTTTATAACAACGTAACTTAATTGGTTTATGATATTTATATACAATTTCCTGAGGTGGAGATTCTATTAAATTTGTTATAAAATAAACAACACTAGCGTATATTTACATATCAATCAAACTATATTGTAATATGAATAAAAAAATATATTGATATTTTAGAGATTCTGTTCGTTTTACTTTAATTCTAGAATCTGACATAAGGTTATTATTTTAATATGTTTATATACAGTAAACTACTCATATTGAATCAATAAATTGTCATTCTTCAATTACATATACGTGTTACAATATTTTACAAATACTGAAAAAACCTGTGAATTGATTGAAAACACCATTAGCCTATAAGAAAAACATGACTAGAGGTTGTTTAATTGAAAAGTTAATCTATTTTACAAAACAACCCTTTATTTAGTACCTTTTCGCGTAGTTATGGATAGTGTCCATGCCTATAACCAGACTTAATTATTTTTACGAGACAGTAGTAAAATTATAGGCCTACTCTTGAATTACCTTTAGATTTATTACGAATAGAATCTTAATAGAAACATGCGGGTCTTTAAGGCACATAAATCATGAAATAATACATTTTAGGCACTTCATAAAAAGATCATTAAATAAGTTAGGTATGATAGGATGATTTTACTTTATCCCCAATTTTGAAGAATACCACTTTTATACATTATCCTTAAAGAGGCAGTGCAGAATATAATTATTAAAATATACTATGGTAATATTATGAAATCTGTACACTTATAATATGTATACTTTTTATAAACGATAAAAAGATCTAACAATGGAGATTCTTTATCATAGATCTTAAGTTTTTACACACAAATACTGTACAAAAACTATATGGTATTGACAATTACAAATAAACTTAAAACTAAAACGTTGTAAATATACATTTTCAAATCCCCTACAAATTGTAAACTGGTCACGACTATTATATTCTTCCCAACAATTTATTTTGAATGAAATTCTTGTTTTCGACATCTATTTGTAAAAATAGAGTCGTTAGTATGAAATAATATGATAATTTAGTGTCATTACACATTTTACCAAGAATATCATAGGCTTCAGGCTACTAAAAACACTTGAATATTGGTTGGTTCTTAGCATTAGCGTAAGATGGTTCCATGTGAAAAACAAGTTAACAATGAACAAAACATGACTAATAAGTCTATACAAATCAAGGAAACCCGATTTCTTCACAATTCCGTACTAAATACCTACCTACTCAAAAAACTCTTCAAAATAAAAAAATCAATAAATTATCAAAATACCCCCGCCGCAGCAAACCTGCTGACTAAGCGAATTTCCATTTGTCTGAATTGATTTTCAGTTAAATATATTTTAATAACATTAGGTTTAACGAGTACCTAGGTTTGCTGCTACAAGGAAACTAATAAAGTGTGTTTTTGAGTAAAATATTGATAGCTTAGTACAAAATAAATAAATTTGCCAAGTGTGATCAAAATATATCCATAAACAAGCAAACTACAAGATTTGACATTATTCTCCATAAGAATAACATGGGAATTATAAATTTACAATTTTTTAATTTTCTTCGTTACTAATAATCGAACAAAAATACTTTTATATACTAAATTATTTGTTTTTTTAAGCTCTTTAAAAAGGTCTAAAGAGAAATCGGGAAATTTTGTGTTTTGAGGGTCAAAAGTGAGAAAAACCAATTTTTACCCCATAAAACCCCCCGTAAATCCCCGTTCCCATGGTCCGATCGTGCTGGTTCGCGAACTCATTCAAGTTTATCCCGCTTTACACCTTTAAACCAAATTTCATCAAAATCGGACAAAAATTACTCAAGTTATCGCGTTCACGGACGTATATATATATATATATATATATATATGTATATATATATATATACATATATAAAAATTTGAACGAATGGTGTTTTTGGCCTCTGGGGACATCAAAATGAAAAAGTAAATCGGTCCCGGGTCTAGGTCTTACCGTGCCACCTACGGTAATAGCTACTTCCCTATAGGGAAATTCGCTAAAATCATTAACAACCAGTGCTTTTGATGTTGGGAAAGAACAAGGTGTGTGTGACTTTTTACAGAAATGCTATACAACATTATGTTAATTTGGTTTATGAGCAATGAGGAAAACTTAGAAGTCAGTTGTAGTTTGGCCACGAAGTGTCCGAAGGCCTCTGTTGAAGGTACTGGTACGACGGCAGGTACTGGTTGTTCCACTGAAAAAAATAGTGAAAGTTATAATCAGCTGATTAACAAGTTATTGACGACATTGCATGAATCGTGGCCTCTTCTAATACAAAGCCGCGGCGAGTCAAAGTGGCAACGTTGCAGAACCGGCCTACCTAAACATATTGTGTTATATATAGTTATATAATAGTGATAGACTGGCCGGTGCCGTTGTCACACCAATGCTGCGACCTTGTATTGGAGGAGACAATGATAAACACATTAGGTTCACATACTTAATGTTACTATATTTATGTAACAATCTTTAAAATACGTTTTCTCTTCTCATGACTAAGAACCAGCATTTTCTCACATTAAAGTTTTAGAATGAACATAGTTATTTTTTTGTAATAAAAACTGGCTGCCTGGTACTTACGAGATGTATAGAGCTATTGATATAATTCAATGATATACTATTAGAAAATTTCAACACACCCCAGAATATTTTTCTTTGTAAAATTTATTGATTGATTGTTCCAACCCCCTACTCACCTGGGCTGGGTGTGCCTGGTAGGTCTGTTTGCTGGGTTGTAGCTCGTGGTAGTGCTGACTACAGGCCGCCCCTGAGTAGTCAGGGTAATGGGACGTCCCCTGGGGATGGTACTGGAGATACTGCTCCAGCTCCTGGTAGTCCACTGGGGCGTCGTCAACCAACCCCACGTTGACCGCGGGCAGGTCCATGTCCAGGGGACCATTGGGCTCGCTGAGGTCCATACCTGCAGAAGATCGTGAGTTTGTGAGTTACAATGGTGAAGATGTGAAAGTTACGTTGGGACCTAACACCTACCATTCTACATTGCGTAATTTTTCATAGCCTCTAATGCAAGGCGTTGTTGGTGTATGGCAACGTTGAATCGGTCGGCATATCAACACAAAAACGTGTAAATACATTACAACATACTCTATTATGAATTACTGCAGCTGTTTCGTTAGACCGAAAGTGCGGCATTGTTATTTTTGTCTTACCACGGTATTGTAATAAGAGAGGCCATGCTTTTTCATTAACCGAAAAAAAATATTTGTGAAGAAATTTACATTCTTCATCACTCATAATGAATTCGTCTAGTTTTTACTGTAAATTTTACCACTGTACTTAGTGATTATTTAACATAAGAGGTAAGGACTTCCACAGTCAGCAGCCGGTTAACACTTATCACTACAAAGGTTTTCTGAGTACGGTCACGACTGAGTTAACAGACAGAAACTCGCTGACGTTTCGGCCTCGTTACAAGCGGCTGTCTTCTCAGAGCACCGGAACTGGCGTCAGGCGCAACGAACATGTGCTACGTGGCCGACACGTCAGCGTCTGGCTGTGACGCTGTTTTCCCAAAGGTCCAAATTTGCAGAAAATCGATTCTCAACTAATGATCAAAACTGAAATGTGCAGTGTGTGGATATTATTCTGCAACATTCCACATGTTAAAAGAAAACTCTCGTTAAATGTAAACATTTGATTCAAAATTAGAAACGTTGTCCTGTGAATCAACCGGAGCAGCCTGAATCAATCCTATTTTCTTACTTTACATTCCCTATACCGAGCAGTCCCAACAAAACACTAGCGTTTACCAAGAGCCAAATTTAATCACTCAAACAGTACTGACGTTTCTAATTGTGTTACTGGAGTCCCTCAAGGCAGCACCCTCGGGCCGTTCTTGTTCCCGCGGTCGCGCCACAGGCGGCGGCGACCTCTATGAGTGTCAGTGGGCGAGAGAGAACCTTAGGCCACCTAGGGTGACAGCTAAGTGTTTAAGCTTGAACTCGGTCGATCATTTAATTTGTTGGTGTACTTGGTTTAGAGTTGGTAGAAAGCGTACTCAAGGTGTTTTGTACTGGGGTGAAACGCTAAAATGAAAGGTCCATGTGGAAATCTCCGCAAGGATTAAATGGATCGTAATAAAATACTAACCAATAGACGTAGTATATCAATCCAATTTACTAAGTTTTTACTTTATGCTGATGACAACTTATTTCTGGAAAATCATTTGCACAAGAAAAAAAAAATCCTCTTTTCTTGGATATTTTTATGGTGAATACGATAATATCCTCCCAAATATATAGACTACATGCGATTAACCTTCCTAATCCTCCTCCTGCTGTGGTGTTAATTATTAAATTTTTTCCCCAATTATTCAAATTTAAGATATCTTAAATTCGCCAAAAATTAATTCCCTCCTTAATAAACTTTCATTGTCCTTTATAGTAGGTCCATTACATCTTTGCATTGACTATTGAGGACATCTTTTACTTCTTCACAAGAATTCTCACAAATTTGTTGACCCTGAAAATATACATTTCACAATACCCACCTGGTAACTGGGAGCAGGAGAGTGGCAGTGACATGTGAGGCCCCTGACGGACCCCTAGATGTCCTCTGTTAGGGGTTGTAGGGGGTGTAGGGGGCCCCTGGCTGTGGGGGCTGCATCGCTCGTCTGCACTGAGGCTGCATTCTTCACTCTTCATCGTTCTGCAAACACACAAGGTTGGTGAAGTCAGGGTTCAATACAGTATTTTGAATGTATTTTCAATTACTTTGTTTTTTCTGAATTAAGTTCGATAAGTAACGGGTCTAAGTAAATCTTTCAACTCATTGGGAGGTTTCATTCATTTTCCAAAACTTGTCGTCGTTTTGATGACCAACTTAATCCCAAAACGATGACTTGAAGCTCTAATATCTAAAACCCTTAGTTAATTTATGTGGTTGGGATGATCAATGAACTCTCTACACTTAACCACTTAACATACGTTTGGTATCAACCCCACATTGGGGGAATTTACTTTACTGTAAACTCTACCAACAAAATAATTAGTCCATTGAATTACACTTCTTCATCCTGTGATCAAAACAATTAAGTTTACAAAAGGAACTAAAAATACGAATTGTTTGCCTAACAGTCTCTTCTGTTCTAGCAGAAGAGAGTAATTTTTGTCTCAAATTTTGTATATTCTCTGTCGAATATTAGATACGGTATGGACTATGTTTATGAGCATAAACAAATTACGTCACTGGTCCGAAAGTACTTCAACAAAACTATCAGAAACCCTCCAAACCAACCAATACGGCTAACATTTGGGATAGTGACGTCATTTTGTTTATGTTTACGATCCATACCGTTTCTATTCTAATATTCGTGGTGTTTTGAAAGCTCTCGAATTACGTAGAACAATTTCAACCCTTTGTTCTGTATACACTACTATGTACCTGGTGCAGTCGTCACCATGTCGCATGTACATGAGGGGCCGAGGTATCAGCTGCTGGTGACAATGTAGGTCCGAGGGTTTGCTGGGGCCCGGGCCCAGCGGCTTGCCCACCTTCCTCCTCCGCGGCTGGTACTTGTAGTCCGGGTACTGCTTTTTGTGGATCAGCCGCAGTCGTTCCGCCTCGTCCTGGAACGGCTTCTTGTCGTGGTCGCTGAGTTGCCTGCGAAAACAACAAAAGTCAATGGTTGTGGAGAACGTTATTTTACACAGTGGAAGGTCCTCAATAGACTTTAATTGCTGCAAGAACTGCCTCTTCCTGGAACGGCTTCTTGTCGTGGTCGCTGAGTTGCCTGCGAAAACAACAAAAGTCAGTATGGTTGTGGAGAAAGTTATTTTACACAGTAGATGTTCCTCAATAGACTTTAATTTATGCAAGAACTGCCTTGTCCTGGAACGGCTTCTTGTCGTGGTCGCTGAGTTGCCTGCGAAAACAACAAAAGTCATAGTATGGTTGTGGAGAACGTTATTTTACACAGTAGATGTTCCTCAATAGACTTTAATTGGTGCAAGAACTGCATCGTCCTGGAACGGTTTCTTGTCGTGGTCGCTGAGCTGCCTACGAAAACAACAACAGTCATAGTATGGTTGTGGAGAAAGTTGTTTTACCCAGTAGAAGGTCCTCAATAGACTTTAATTGCTGCAAGAACTGCCTCGTCCTGGAACGGCTTCTTGTCGTGGTCGCTGAGTTGCCTGCGAAAACAACAACAGTCAGTGGAGAACGTTATTTTACACAGTAGATGTTCCTCAATAGACTTTAATTGCTGCAGGAACTGCCTCGTCCTGGAACGGCTTCTTGTCGTGGTCGCTGAGTTGCCTGCGAAAACAACAACAGTCATAGTATGGTTGTGGAGAAAGTTGTTTTACACAGTGGAAGTTCCTCAATCGACTTTAATTGCTGCAAGAACTGCCTCGTCCTGGAACGGCTTCTTGTCGTGGTCGCTGAGTTGCCTGCGAAAACAACAACAGTCAGTATGGTTGTGGAGAAAGTTATTTTACACAGTGGAAGTTCCTCAATCGACTTTAATTGCTGCAAGAACTGCATCGTCCTGGAACGGCTTCTTGTCGTGGTCACTGAGTTGCCTGTGAAAACAACAAAAGTCACAGTATGGTTGTGGAGAAAGTTATTTTACACAGTAGATGTTCCTCAATATACTTTAATTGCTGCAAGAACTGCCTCGTCCTGGTCCTGGAACGGCTTCTTGTCGTGGTCGCTGAGTTGCCTGCGAAAACAACAACAGTCATAGTATGGTTGTGGAGATAGTTATTTTACACAGTAGATGTTCCTCAATAGACTTTGGTGCAAGAACTGCATCGTCCTGGAACGGCTTCTTGTCGTGGTCACTGAGTTGCCTGCGAAAAAAACGAAAATCTGTATGGTTGTGGAGATAGTTATTTTACACAGTAGATGTTCCTCAATAGACTTTAATTGGTGCAAGAACTGCATCGTCCTGGAACGGTTTCTTGTCGTGGTCGCTGAGTTGTCTGCGAAAACAACAAAAGTCACAGTATAGTTGTGGAGAACGTTATTTTACACAGTATACTTTAATTGGTGCAAGAACTGCCTCGTCCTGGAACGGCTTCTTGTGGTGGTCGCTGAGTTGCCTACGAAAACAACAAAAGTCACAGTATAGTTGTGGAGAGCGTTATTTTACACAGTAGATGTTCCTTAATATACTTTAATTGGTGCAAGAACTGCATCGTCCTGGAACGGCTTCCTGTCGTGGTCGCTGAGTTGTCTGCCAAAACAACAAAAGTCATAGTATGGTTGTGGAGAAAATTATTTTACACAGTAGATGTTCCTCAATAGACTTTAATTGGTGCAAGAACTGCCTCGTCCTGGAACGGCTTCTTGTCGTGGTCGCTGAGTTGTCTGCCAAAACAACAACAGTCACAGTATGGTTGTGGAGAAAGTTATTTTACACAGTAGATGTTCCTCAATAGACTTTAATTGCTGCAAGAACTGCCTTGTCCTGGAACGGCATCTTGTCGTGGTTGCTGAGTTGCCTGCGAAAACAACAACAGTCATAGTATGGTTGTGGAGAACGTTATTTTACACAGTAGATGTTCCTCAATAGACTTTCATTGCTGCAAGAACTGCCTTGTCCTGGAACGGCATCTTGTCGTGGTTGCTGAGTTGCCTGCGAAAACAACAACAGTCATAGTATGGTTGTGGAGAAAATTATTTTACACAGTAGATGTTCCTCAATAGACTTTAATTGGTGCAAGAACTGCCTCGTCCTGGAACGGCTTCCTGTCGTGGTTGCTGAGTTGCCTGCCAAAACAACAACAGTCACAGTATGGTTGTGGAGAAAGTTATTTTACACAGTAGATGTTCCTCAATAGACTTTAATTGCTGCAAGAACTGCCTTGTCCTGGAACGGCATCTTGTCGTGGTTGCTGAGTTGCCTGCGAAAACAACAACAGTCACAGTATGGTTGTGGAGAAAGTTATTTTACACAGTAGATGTTCCTCAATAGACTTTAATTGCTGCAAGAACTGCCTTGTCCTGGAACGGCATCTTGTCGTGGTTGCTGAGTTGTCTGCCAAAACAACAACAGTCATAGTATGGTTGTGGAGAACGTTATTTTACACAGTAGATGTTCCTCAATAGACTTTAATTGCTGCAAGAACTGCCTTGTCCTGGAACGGCATCTTGTCGTGGTTGCTGAGTTGTCTGCCAAAACAACAACAGTCATAGTATGGTTGTGGAGAAAATTATTTTACACAGTAGATGTTCCTCAATAGACTTTAATTGCTGCAAGAACTGCCTTGTCCTGGAACGGCATCTTGTCGTGGTTGCTGAGTTGCCTGCGAAAACAACAACAGTCACAGTATGGTTGTGGAGAACGTTATTTTACACAGTAGATGTTCCTCAATAGACTTTCATTGCTGCAAGAACTGCCTTGTCCTGGAACGGCATCTTGTCGTGGTTGCTGAGTTGTCTGCCAAAACAACAACAGTCATAGTATGGTTGTGGAGAACGTTATTTTACACAGTAGATGTTCCTCAATAGACTTTCATTGCTGCAAGAACTGCCTTGTCCTGGAACGGCTTCTTGTCGTGATCGCTGAGTTGCCTACGAAAACAACAACAGTCATAGTATGGTTGTGGAGAACGTTATTTTACACAGTAGATGTTCCTCAATAGACTTTCATTGCTGCAAGAACTGCCTTGTCCTGGAACGGCATCTTGTCGTGGTCGCTGAGTTGTCTGCCAAAACAACAAAAGTCATAGTATGGTTGTGGAGAAAATTATTTTACACAGTAGATGTTCCTCAATAGACTTTAATTGGTGCAAGAACTGCCTCGTCCTGGAACGGCTTCCTGTCGTGGTCGCTGAGTTGCCTGCGAAAACAAACAAAAGTCACAGTATGGTTGTGGAGAAAGTTATTTTACACAGTAGATGTTCCTCAATCGACTTTAATTGCTGCAAGAACTGCCTCGTCCTGGAACGGTTTCTTGTCGTGGTCGCTGAGTTGCCTGCGAAAACAACAAAAGTCAGTATGGTTGTGGAGAACGTTATTTTACACAGTAGATGTTCCTCAATAGACTTTAATTGGTGCAAGAACTGCCTCGTCCTGGAACGGCTTCTTGTCGTGGTCGCTGAGTTGTCTGCGAAAACAACAAAAGTCAATGGTTGTGGAGAAAGTTATTTTACACAGTAGAAGGTCCTCAATAGACTTTAATTGGTGCAAGAACTGCATCGTCCTGGAACGGTTTCTTGTCGTGGTCGCTGAGTTGTCTGCGAAAACAACAAAAGTCATAGTATGGTTGTGGAGATAGTTATTTTACACAGTAGATGTTCCTCAATAGACTTTAATTGGTGCAAGAACTGCATCGTCCTGGAACGGTTTCTTGTCGTGGTCGCTGAGTTGCCTGCGAAAACAACAACAGTCAGTATGGTTGTGGAGAACGTTATTTTACACAGTAGATGTTCCTCAATAGACTTTAATTGCTGCAAGAACTGCCTTGTCCTGGAACGGCTTCTTGTCGTGGTCACTGAGTTGCCTACGAAAGCAACAGTCAGTCATATAGTCCTCGCCACCCTAAGTTGAGGCAGCCTAAGGCCGCACGGCGTATATCTAATGCGGCCTTTGGCTGCCTCAATTTAGGGTGGTGAGGACTATAGTAGGGTTGTGGAGAAAGTTATTTTACACAGTAGAAGGTCCTCAAACAACTTAAATTGGTGCAAGTGACTTTCTCAACCTATTATCTGAAGACTTTTTTGTTGGTGAAGTTTGAATGTACGGACACAGACAATATAATACTTGATTACAATATAATACGGACGTCAATAGGTGTCATTCTTAGTTTAGGATGGATTTTAAAAGTGTGTTCTCCAATAGAAGGTTCACCTCGTCTCAGATGTCCGAAAAGAAGAAATGAAGGACAATATAAAGTAGAACAGGATTATTCCGATGCTTCTATGGCAGGAGAGAGATGTATGTTTGAGAGCACAGAAGAGAGTGCTCGTATAGTATGAAAGGAAAGACGATACGATAAGATGATATAAATCTATCTATTAGATAATTAAAGTGGTAGAATCAAATTTTTAAACTGTTAAGGCCATTCATCAAATACAAATATATGCATATGGCACATCAAAATGAAGCTGTATAGATTTGTCGAAAATTATAGGTATGAACAAATTTGTAATGCACTCACAGACCGATTTCCAAAGGGCTACGTCTGACTTGCTTCTAAAGTTTAAATGATTTAATGTATTTAATTAAACAGCTGGTCAGTGCAATAAACTAGTGTTTGTTTATTTACACGAAAAAGATGTTTGTGATGCTTTATGTAGATTGAGGAAATAATGTGCATTATTAGTAAAAGGTTTATATTTGGTTTTAAAGAAAGGTTGTACAAGTTTTGTATAGTATTGCTCAACGTTTCAATTTGTAATTTATATAGTAAGCTACATGTAAAGAGGGTTGACAAAAATTGAAAAATTGTGGTAAAACATTTCATTCTTGAAGCATCCATATGAAGCAATTAATGCTATTGCTACACTAAGGTTGTCATATTATTTTGGATCTATTCACATCAAAAGTAGGGATTTGAAAGTAAGTACGTTTAACTTTAAATCATTTTAACTATCAAATTAAATCATATACTTGCTGTATTTTTAAAACACAAATCATCGCCACATACTGTATGT